TGTATCATAAGAAGCTTCTTTCAAAGATTCTATTTTATATTGGCCAAATACTTCTTTAAATTTTATGAGCATTTGCTGATATCCATATGATGTATTGCATTAGGGTAACTCTGAAATTATTTCTCCTGCATGGTTGGTTTTCATTTTAACCAATTTCTGCCCAGAAGTACCATCTTGAAACTCCTCTGGAAAACTGCACATATTAGTCATGCAGCCATAGTATTTCTTTTACAGGTTGTAGAAGAGTATGGTATTAGGTAAAAAAAAAAAAAAAAAAATTAGATGTATGAGTATGCATTTCTTGATATGAAATTAGCTTCTTTCAAAGATTCTATTTTATATTGGCCAAATACTTCTTTAAATTTTATGAGCATTTGCTGATATCCATATGATGTATTGCATTAGGGTAACTCTGAAATTATTTCTCCTGCATGGTTGGTTTTCATTTTAACCAATTTCTGCCCAGAAGTACCATCTTGAAACTCCTCTGGAAAACTGCACATATTAGTCATGCAGCCATAGTATTTCTTTTACAGGTTGTAGAAGAGTATGGTATTAGGTAAAAAAAAAAAAAAAAAAAAATTAGATGTATGAGTATGCATTTCTTGAGATCCAGAGCACTTTACTGTTGTAAAAAAAAAATTGGACAGAGAGTCTGTGACAATGGTTTTGAACTCTCATAAGTGTTTGTCTTGCTTTTCTGCGGTTATTCTGTTATACCCTAAATTGTGCTACTTTTGACAAATTAGCTTAGCTTAATTTTTTCAGTCTTTTAATGGTCCTGTGAATTTCTGATGAAGTCTTCTCCTGGGTAGCTCTGTCTCAGCAGTCATATCTTCCTGCCCTGAGTGGTTTTAAATATGTTGGTTGTTCTTTAAGAATACTGATGTGTGCCTGGGGATGATGTATCTTGGGATGTCTGATGAGGTCAGTTCCTGTCCACCCTGCTGCTGCTCTGCAGGAAGCTGAGCTGCCCTTGAGACAGCTCCTGGGTGGCCACAGCGTACATCAAAGAACCAGCTTCAGCACAGGGTTTTCTTCTTAATTTTTCATTTTTTTCTTTCCTTGAATTGCCATAGTCTTAGAAACTTTTTTAGGAGATGATGGCTAGGCCTCTCAGGGTGGTAGTCTCAGTAAGTAGTAAAACACTCTCATTCTTGCCTCAAGACAAGAGTTTTCAGTAATAAAGCCTTCTCAAGCTGATCTGTAGTTTATTTTACTATATTAGTTTCTTCAGTATGTTGCACACACTTAACAACTTCACATTACAATTATTCTAAAATTGCTCAGTTGAATTCAAGATCCTCATAAAACTGAATGTAGTATATGGGAAATGAAGGCACTTAAAAGACTAAAAGCATATTTTTTAATCTTACATAATCTGAAAGGTTTTTTGAAGATGCAGCAACCGCAAATGGAGGTACTCTTGATGACATTTATAAATTACATCAATCATGACTGATGTTCTTACTCACATTTTGTGTCTTAGTGTAGAATCTGCCATGTTATGTCAGTACCACATTTCCTGGCAATTCCTCTCTACATGTTTTTACTTGACCGTACGTAAATTTACCATTGTATGAAATTTAGCTTTTACTTCATTCTCAGTGCTAATTAGACATAACTATTTCGTTCATATATTCTTAGTAACATATTGGATGAACACTGATACTCACTTTAGATACTATTTAAAAAGATATTTTTCTGTCATTTTAAGACGAAGCTTAGGGGTAGCTGAGTTAGTTTAATTATATGAAATGAGGTAGGTTTTATCCTGTTTTTTTATTAGGGTGAACATATTCATCAACTATTTTATACAGTCTTCAGAAGATTAGAAAATTCAAGAAAAGATTCAAGAAAAACTTGAATATGGAACATTTACTGAGATTGAGTTTGTGTCCATTTCTTTAATTTTTCAAATTTATCTTATTGTAAATGATACAGACCGTTCATACACATTGATAAATGTTCTCAAACTTAACCTCAAATTTTATTTCTCTGTATGGGTATATTAAGAAAAAAAATGCTAGCCACTTGCCTTCACTAAGTTCTGGTTTCACTCAAGCCCTTCAGGCCACCACATGTTCAAGATCTTTGATTCCTCTGCCTTTTTTTTTTTTGCTTTTTTTTTTTTTTTTTCTTTTTTTTTTCTAATAATCTGAATTCAAATCCTTTATATGGATTACTTAGCACTTGGGCCTAAAGTAAAATATTAGCCACTTATCAGTCCAGATTTCCATTCTTTAGCATGTTGTAGAGTCCTCCAAGTCTTCTGTGAAACACAATCCATCTACCCTTCTCCCGTCCACATGGGCCACCAATAAACAGACTGAGCTATTCCTGCTACTAAAGTTAATTCTTGTCTAGAAGGGTGGTCAAACTGAGGCTTAAGGAGGAGGTTAAGCACTTGCTGCTCCTGACCATAGCCTTCATTTTACCATTAAGAACCATCAGATGCTTTTCAATGACCTGTGTGTTTCAAATCTATTTTCTGTTGTTCTAAACGTAGTGGTACTTGGCATTTCCTAACCTTCACCATAGACCAAACCCTGACTTTAACCCAGATATTCCACAGAACAAGATGAACAAAATACTTAAAATTTATTTCAACCTGTCTATGAGGTGGGGGTGGTAGACTTAGAGTAACCCACATGTAAGGCAGACAAGCCTTCATCCGGCTTTAGTCCTACACCGAAAACACCCTATAGGTGCTGACCTAACTGAGCAAAAATAAACTATAGACTTCTATTGACAAGCGACTTCCACTTTGAGACAGAAGTGCACAAACAAGAGCTGAAAGGTAGGTAAGTTTCTACAGCTGTCAACCTGGCCACTTTTTGGTTTAGACAACCAATGGTAAACTTGTGAATAGGTTGGTTGTAAAAGGCTGAGCTACACATTCATTAGTCCATGGAGTTATATGGGTGGGATCTAAAAGAACCTGTGAGGAATAGTTTATTTTAGCCACAGTCTGCTCCACCGGGATTAGGATTCCTTTCAGCAAAAGAGAAAATGAACCCCACTTATCTGTGTACATGGCATGAGCTGCAGGACTTCCACGAGGGTAAGTTTCTTTAGTCTCTAGCTTGGAACTTGTAGATCCAACCATATGATATTTATACAGTTTTGATTTGAATTGGCAAAATTGAGAAACTATGTTATAAATTATCTGTATTAAGATTAGGGTTGGTGTTTGTAGAGGCTAAATTGTAACACTGCATCTTGGTTCAGCTGAATATCTGTATATAAATGGAAAGCTGGAGTTAGGCTAAAAACACCCCAAACCATAGGAGGTAGGTGCTACAGGAGGTTGTTCCCCTCTGAGCCTTGCACTCTGGGGCCTGAGGCACATTTGAAAATGTGGATGTGTGCCATTGATATGGAAAAAAAAGAGTATCATGACAACTTTTGATGCTGTAGTTTGTTGTCTATGTTACAAATGCTCATAGTACAATTAACATGCTTCTTTCTTCAAATGTGGTTTGAATGCATTGCCATGGTCAGGAGGCTTACGTGGCCACCACCTCTTTGAAAAAAAACATGTTGGATTTTCAGAAAGCCCCCTGGTGCAGATCAAAGCAGTGCCACAGCTGGGGGCAGCCTGTTTGGCTCATTGGTGACAAGGAGCAATATGAAGGCCTGTGATGATTCAAAATGTTAAATTATTTCGCTTTATAATTATCTGTGATACTTATTAATATGTTATGAAGAGGTTGGTGATGAGAGTGTATGAGGTTTTGGGACTAGTTAACTGTCTTAAAAGCAACTAAAAATGCCCACATATGCCAGGAAAATGAACATAGCTATTGGCAGCAAAAGGCTAGTCTAGGTATTTTTTTCTTCTCTGATATAATTCGTTCAGTCTTTCTGCTGTAATTATGTCAAAACTTCCTTTCATATGCCATGTCCACAGATGGCATTGCATCACCTTCATTATTATCTTGACCTCTGGTTTCCACAGTAGCAATGCTCATCACCCCTTTGTGCAGCCTGATTTTGTGCTGTGAGGCTGGCTGGACTTGGGAGAAGAAGGTGGTCCAGGAAAGAATATCGTAGTACTGGAGCTGTACATTCTTTGTTTTGAGAAGAATAGGTTACAATGTTTATATGTTTACTCATAGCATCTGCTAATTGCTACTGTTTCAATTTTGTGGGGTTTCAGGGTTTTGTTTTGGTTTTGTTTTAATTTGTTTGGTTTTGTTATTTATGGTGCAAATAGATCATTTGGTCAATTTGTAATGGGAGAGCAATCTGAACATCAATCTGTGGGATGGTTCATTCCTACAAACAAGTACTCTGTAAAGATTTGGGGATTGCTTTACAAGTAGGGTGAAGCCTATTTGCAGCTATGTTTAAGTCATCAGATTATAATGAATGGATAGCAATGGGATTTAATAATAGAATGCATTTAATGTGGTTAAATGCAGTGCAAAGTGTAGCTGCGTCAAATTACTTTTGGGATTGATGATTAAATTGCTCTTGTTGTAGCATGCTTATTATCTAGTGGATGATGATCTACTTACGAATTAATGAGGGGAGCAAAATGAACACTATGTTTTAAATAGCCATCAGCCTTACAGTTCTTTATTTTTTATGACTTTACGTTGAAAATCATGCAGATAAGAATAATGTTAATACTGTTAAATGTATTGAGAAGAAAAACCTGATGAGTTTTTTTTCTTTCTTTGTCTGAACTAGAGGACAATTTGTAGTGCCAGCAGAATTCTCTTATTCTTTCTTGCTTTGAAAAAATAAGAAGCATTTCCTCCAAGGACTCCATACACACCATACACACATACACCCCTCACAGTTTTTTGTTGTTGTTTTGTTTTGTTTTACAGAATAGTTTCTTGTGTGCATTTTGGAAATTGTAGAGCACAAAGCATTCCCAAAAGTAAAATGCTATTTATGTCTAACTGCAAGAACAGAAGTGTTGAAAGTAGCAGATATTTTGATTTGTGTCATAAATATTAAATTATTCCTTATTCCTTTCACTATAGGTTCTTCAAAAACTAGGAAAAGCAGATGAAACTAAAGATGAACAGTTTGAAGAATACGTTCAAAATTTCAAACGGCAAGAGGTCAGTTACTTTTTCATTTTCTTTAATTGTGTCTTAAGAGTACAATATATTTAACTTGCTGTTTTTGAATGTGTTGCAGGGGAACAGGTAATATTCTGTTTTTTCATGGGTACAAGATTTTGTTCTGCAATTTTCAAAACAGAGATAACAGTTGCATTTGTCCATGCAGAGCACTAAAATATGGGCCAAAAATAAAAGCACATTTGTTTTCATATGTAACATCATCATACTTAAACTGCTTGAGATCAGAGTGACAGTACATTTTCACCAGTAATTAAGAATAGAACCCAACCTGAACTAAATGCAGCTTTGTGATCGCCTTGTTACAAAGAAAGAGAAGTATTTACATGGTTTCATTTGGTGGATTACTTTCATCAGTGCTATATAATAATACTGGTTTTATAAGAGTGAGCAGATTAATAGTTTTGGACTGCACGTGTGTTGTGAAGTTCCCCGTGGGTGCTGAGGTCTGTGGTGGCAGTGCTGATGAAGCATAACTAGGCAGCAATGCTCAATTACTCTTAGTGTTATAAACACAACATAGGAAACCAAAGGTGCTCCAAGGAGTTTATAATCTACTCCCAGACCAATCCTAAATTCTAACCCAAATTACTTGTTGCTTCATTGGAGAGACTTTTTGGCTCTGAGGGGATGAATTGCAATTTTTTATAAGTACCTTTGTAGCACAAATTAATACCTCCAATAAACTGTGGTAATACCACCAAGAAAATAGTCTTGTTACATAAGTATGAACTAACATATCTGTTGTCTTTGTGAGCTGTTATTTAGAGCTCCTATAGAAAGGAACTGGAGAGTGAGAGCTACTCCCACACATTTTACACAATCAAAAATTTGGCTCATGTCAGTGTTTTCAGTTTCTGCTCTAAATCAGTCCTATTCTACCAAATGCACTTTCCTCCTTTTCATGTAAACACAAAGCCTGCATCCTGACTGCTGGAATGCTTATTAACTCTTCTGCATCTTATTGTCACTTTGCCTTTATTTTCTTCTCAGTGTAGAAGAGAGGGAGGTTTCAAAAGCTATTGAGCTTTCCTCTTCGCCAAAGAGAGGAATACTGGGAAGTAAAAGAACCTGTTTCTCTGAGATGGATAGTTCTTTCCTCAAATTTCTTGAGGTCAGGAAAATGGTGGGATTTAATAGAAGTTTTGAAAACCTACAGAGATGCTATATTTTCCCTTTTCTTCCCTTTCTACTTTTCCAAGTCTTCTTGACCTTTTGATTATTTGATGTTGTTGCTTGTCCTTGTCCATATCCCAGCTGTTTGCACAGCTAGTAAGTGTGTTTGTAGAAATAAGGTACATCTCTGAGGGGTTTCTTCGGTGTAGGAGCAAATGGAGCATCTCCATGAAGAAACTGAATTTGTGGTACTTTTCTCTTTCAGTTCAAAATTCTGAGACAAACAAGAGGGGAAAGAGGAAAAAAAATCCTTTTAAGCAAAATGATATCTCAAGTATTGGGTTTTTTCTGTCCTTTACCAAGAATTTTCTGTAATGGTGATTTTAAGCTGAAAATCTTGCTTAGATCTAAGGAGGATATTAGCATTGCTTTCTTTTTATTTCCTCATTCTTTGATATACATAGACTCAATAATAAACAGTAAAGTACTCTGCAGGAACTACATAATGCTAAATCCTAAATGCAAATATGAGTTGGGACCAGAGAGGAAATTGGGTAGGGAGGGGTGACTGCAAAGGGAGCTACGACAATTGTCGCGACAGTTGCATACAGATTAAGCTAGGTGCACTGACATACTAAATGAGAGTGTATTTACTGAACTAGTCACACATGCTTACTGTGCTTTCAAGAAGTTCTGTTGTGCTCAATTCTTCAAATACAACAGGGAAAATGCTGCAAAAGCACTGTTTCTGCCGTGTTCACCAATAAGAAGCATATAAATAGTTTAAATTTCCTAAGTTTGTCCATGTTTTTATCTACAATTTAATAACAATGCAAAGGTATGAAGCATTACAATGTGCATCTGAATTATCACTCATACTGATTAATGCCATGCAGAACTGCTGTCTTTTGTGAACCCAGAAATCCATCTCTTCTTGGTTTATATTCAGTCCTGCTTTCAAGTTCAGTCTGCAACTCTAGAGGCTTTAGATAAAGTCAAATTCTAGATATTAAAGTATAAAAAGGCAATCTGGTGGATGTATCTCTGTGCTGAAGCTCACCGCACTGTTGCTGTGGGCCATTCAGGAGGCTTGCAAGAACAACCAACCCTGTTAGAGGCTGTGCAGTCTTTTTCAGTTTCCTCTGGGATTATTTGTCTCTGTGATGGTGACTGACCTAGCAAGACCATGGCAGAGGAAATTTGAGAGGAGGTCCAAGCTTTACTTTGTTACTTGCAATCTCATTTACCAATGGTTTGTCTGTTCCCTGGCCACCTCACCTACTGTCAGTTCATTCTGAGGAGCACTATAATTTCAGTTCTATGTCTCTTTGCAAGTTCTTTGTTGTAGCTGGTGCTATGTGTGCCCTGAGGATCCTGGTAAGGTGAAAGCTGTGAAAATGGTCTATCTTGCTTGCCTGCATTACGGAGCATGCAACCCTTGAGAGATCAACTAACCTTAAGTATAGAATGATCTTTTTATTACTACTCTCCAAAGATAATAAATGAGGACTCCCAGTTCAGCCCAATGAAAGGATAAAGGAAAGAGCATAGTGCTCATTTTCCAGGAAACAGAAAATTGAAAACCTGAAATCTTTGCCTGAGTAGTAGATTAGATGGTGGGTCTGTACCAAACTCAGAAGATGGTTAAGTGTAAGGATACATGCATGTCGTGGTTTGATACTGGCCAAAGATCAGGCACCCACAAAAGCCACTCACTCACCCTCCCTTCCAACAGCTGGGCAGAGAGAAAAATTTAATAAAGGCTTCATGTGTTGAGATAAGGAACAATAGAAAACACTCCAAGGGCAAAACAAGGTGAGCTTAAAGGTACAAAGTGAATTTATTACTATCAGACTCAGAGGAGAATAATGAGAAGTAAAATAAGCCCTTAAAAACACTTTTTTCCCCCAACTCCTCCCTCCTTCCCACTGACAGCGCAGGGAGACGGGGGGCTGAGGATTTGGGTCAGTTTGTCACCTGAGGTTTTTCTCCACTACTCAGAGATACTAGTCCTTCCCTTGATACACCATGGGGTCCCTTCTCAAAGGGAGACAGTTCTCTGTGAAGTTCTCCAGCATGGCTCCAAATCTCATAGAAAACACTCCAAGGGCAAAACAAGGTGAGCTTAAAGGTACAAAGTGAATTTATTACTATCAGACTCAGAGGAGAATAATGAGAAGTAAAATAAGCCCTTAAAAACACTTTTTTCCCCCAACTCCTCCCTCCTTCCCACTGACAGCGCAGGGAGACGGGGGGCTGAGGATTTGGGTCAGTTTGTCACCTGAGGTTTTTCTCCACTACTCAGAGATACTAGTCCTTCCCTTGCTACACCATGGGGTACCTTCTCAAAGGGAGACAGTTCTCTGTGAAGTTCTCCAGCATGGCTCCATGAGATGAGAAGCAGTCCTGCCAATACTACTGCAATTTGACTCCTTTCCATGGGCAGGCAGTCCTCCCAAAACTGCTGCAATGTAGGTCACTCTACCACGGCGTGCAGTCCTCCAAGGACAGGCTGCTCCAGCCTGGAAGCTGGGGCCCCCTGTATCCACCAGGTCTTCCACTGGATCATAGCCTCCTCCAGGAGATGGTGCTCACACCTGCTCCAGTGTGAGCACCTCCCCCATGGGGTGCAGGTGGATCTCTGCATCCCACATAGACCCCCACAGGCTTCAGGGGCATGGCTGCTTCACCATGGTCTTCACCACAGCCTGCAGAGGAATCTCGGCTCTGGCACCTCAAGTATCTCCTGCCCCTCCTTCTCCACTGACCTTGGTGTCTCCATGTTGTTTCCTTCACATGTTCTCACCTCCTCCTCTTCTCTGGCTAGGAAAAAACTGTGCATGCACACTTTTAAAACATTTTTTCTTAAATATGTTATCACAGGTGTTACCATCATCTCTCATTGGCCCAGCCTTGGCCAGCAACATGTCCATCTTCAGAGCCATCAGGGATTGGCTCTGCAGGACATAGTGGAAGCTTCTAGCAGCTTCTCACAGAAGCCACCTCTGGCTGTCAAAAACCAGGCCATGCAAAACCAATGCAGTGCAGCAGATCTATCTGGAGAAAATAGTCATTTAGATTCCCCAGTCACCCATTCCCATCTCTTTCTGAATACAACTGGATGAGAGCCTCTTCTGAACTTGACAACCCAGAGTTGAATTACCCAGATGAATCACTGTGGAGAAACTGAGTCATCCCATGTCCAGAGAGAACAGAGCAAAGTTGCTTTGCAGAGCCCCAGGACTGTCTCTATCAAAACCATTAAGCTCCTGCAGCTGATGATAACAGAAGAACATTTAGATTTTAAGCAATGAATACAGCTGGTTTTCATCTTCCACTTGAGCTGTAAACTGAAAATTCCCACTCTAAATCGAAGCTTGTGGAACATATAAACTCATACATGACAGTATGACACAGGTTTTCATTGTATTGTAAGAAATTTCTTGAGATTTAAACATTTATCTCTGCACAGCTAATTGTAAATATGTTCAGCCTCTTAATCGACTCTGAAGTTCAGAATGAGGGGGAAAAGAAGAGAATTCCTGCATAATTCTCTCATTTCTGTGGTGAAATTATCATCAAAGGCCATTGAGGATTTACCAGAAATTCCATCTGCTTTCAAGCAATTGCATCTTACATGTTCTGTTTTTTACAGGGAGTACAGTAGCAATTACCTTTATCCCCGTGTATATTTTAATGACTCACAGTCATTAAAAGTCACACTTTGTTGTTCTGAGAGGAATATTCTATTTCATGTATATGCATATTTGCCTCTCTTTATTTTTCTACATGTAGTTATGAGACTTCTTTTACTTTACATACTACAGTTAAAATATATTTTAGTGCTTAAGCCCATAAATGTT